AACTAGAAGTGATCGGTAAATTTCAGCTAATTCACCCATAAGTTGTTGATTTACTAATCAATAAATATAATTCTCTGATTCACCTGAGCATTGAGATCCACACCTTCGATTGATCACTAAGTTTCTGACGAATTTTAAAACCCATGGATAATCCCTATCTAAGCACTAATGAAGACAAAACACGTAGTTCAGCGAAGAGTCTCTTCTTGGCAACGAATTCATTTTCATAGCTGTACAATCGCAAATACATATGCAGGTTATTTTGTATGTGTGTACATTAAGTTTGTCAAACAAAATTACAACTGGTTAACTAGACAGGTGAAGATTGGGGTAATTGAAATTACGTAATACGAAATCAGTCAAGAAAATTAGGTGTTAATGAAACTAGTGTAGTAATAAAGGTGATAAGTTGTCACAAACATGTTAAAAAAGAAATTATGTAATAATATGAATAGTTTGATGGTGAGTTGTACTCAGGATGCACATAGAAACAAAGTAGATAATACAAAATTGCGTAGGAGTTCTAAATGAATAGAAGAATTATAAGGAATAAAAGAACAGACAAACAAACAATACAGAGAGAACGAAATTATGTAAGAGTTCTAAATGACTATACAAGAACTATAAGCAATTATGGAAACAGGCGAACAAAAATAAACAAAGTTTTTACCATGACAGTAGAAGCGGTTGAGTAATCCTCTTTTTGTATAAGCAGCTCTGGTTTTTCTATGTGAATGGTCAGAGCTTCAGTGATACAAAGAAGACAAAACTGTATGGCCTCTGGTAAGTTATTCTTGACTCTGCAGATTACTTTGAAGCAGGAGGTGTTTGTTGAAATGGAATGATCGATGTTAACCCCAGGTGTTCAATTATCGCACTTCTTATTGCACCACTATTGCCTTTTCTAAACCATGCTGGCTGGATAGTGTTCTTGAATCCTCCTGGACAGGATGCACGTCGAACAACTGATGTAGCTAGCTGGCTCCACAGCAGCAGGTGAACTGATATACGCACATAGAAGTGCATACAAAGGAGAATACTCAATCACTTCTACTGTCATGATAACAACTTTGTTAATTTTGATGACTTAATTTTGTTTGTCTGCTTGTTCTTTTATTCCTCATAATTCTTCTATTCATTTAGAACTCCTACGCAATTTTGTATTATCTACTTTGTTTCTATGTGCATCATGAGTACAACTCAATCATCAAACTATTCATATTATTACATAATTTCTTTTTTAACAACTGTTTGTGACAACTTATCACCTTTATTACTACACTAGTTACATTAACACCTAATTTTCTTGACTGATTTCGTATTACGTAATTTCAATTACCCTAATCTTCACCTGTCTAGTTAACCAGTTGTAATTTTGTTTGACAAACTTAATGTACACACATACAAAATAACCTGCATATGTATTTGCGATTGTACAGCTATGAAAATGAATTCGTTGCCAAGAAGAGACTCTTCGCTGAACTACGTGTTTTGTTTCCATTAATTTAAAGTATGCTGAACTGTTAAAAGTCTTCTGCCGAAGATGTATACCTCATCTTTTTTCCATTGGAGTAGTGAGAGGAATTTTATATCTTAACTCGAACAACTGTGATTGTGTTTAGGTCTGTAATCAACTATTGTGTAAGATTTCCGCTCTCCAACTTTTCCATTCATTTGTTCATCGGGGGATTGTTTACCATAACATTGGCTGATGCCAGGCGCACGTAAAACCACGAATTGGATGATGTTAGATTTCATAGGCCATTGAGTCGAGTCCCAGTGACTTAATGCTCTACGAGTTCGCCTGGTAACTGGAAGGTCCTTTCCTCCGTTCGAAACACAATGGTGGATGATGCGATCTGCCAGTGGGTTCCAAACTAAGACGAAACACCTGTTTTCAGTGCTTCTCTTACTGATATCAGTTCTTGACCAAATTTGTGACCATGTTTCATTGTACTTTTATTAGTGCCGCTATATGCTTAAGTTTACTTCAAGAATCCTGCGTACTCCCGTGTACAAGTTGCAGTTAGTACTCACTGTAAAAATCAATTATTTAATTCATTTACAAAAGGTTAAGGTTTCTCATTTGACAAGTACAACCTGACTCATAGTTTCACTACTGTATTATGTGGTTTGTAAACTGGGTGTACTCACATTCTATTGGATGAGAAATGTTTGCTTTAAAACCCAAATCTAACACGCAAGGGATTAGCAAAGATTCTCTTCAACACAGATGCAGGGGTAAGGGAGTCAAGTCGTCTTTCAGAATATTGACATTTCTCTAGCCCATAGAAATCCATGTTGAATAGCGAATTCTAATGATTAATTCTCATACGATCGGTTCTACTTGAACTCACCTATCCTAAATAGAGAATTCGCGTATCAAGGTACGAACGACGCTTATCGTGCGTGTGAGGGGGTATGATTATACTACGCAGTGAGTAGAACCGTATTCCACCACAGATGTCATCTGCTGAAATTAGACCACCTAAAACCAATCAATCAGTCATGTCTCCACCCACCCTTATGCAATAATTTATGTTCACTAAAGATCCAGTGCTGTTTGCATACTCAACTCATGGGAAGAAGAAGAAGCGAAAATTGCTCAATTTTTCGTAAGGAATCTCTGTTTGAGATGGTGTGTTGTTTATTTCTTCCTGAACAATTAACACTGCTTCCAAAGCAATGATTATGATTGTCGTATTATGTTCTATTCTGTTTAATCAATGAAGTTCTGTATCCTCCTCACCTTATCGCCTGTTTGCTTAAATTAATAAGTGTTATGTACTGCTGCTGAGTGAGTTATTAGAGTTTTCCCCGTCGCCAATTATGTTATGTACTCGTCGAGTAGTTAATAGTCCTGACGCAGAAAGAGGGAAATCAGAAGACCACGAGGTTTACGATGATACTTGTATTTTCCAGACAAGGAAAATAAATGTCACACAAGAGTGTGAGTGCAAGGGTACTTAGATGTACGAAAAAGTTTGTGAACAAGAGTAAACAAGAATGATAAAGCAAGAGTATATATGAAAATGGCTAATACACATGAACCAATAAGATAACGTCTTGTCATGATTGGTTGTAATGTCATGTGATAATAGGGTCATACATTGTTTATTTAGTTAGTGGACAGACAAAAGCATAATGTCAGTTATAATGGAATATCGATCCATGTACACAGCAAAATATAATAGACTATCAAAAAAAAAACACATCATGTGGATACATATCAATAAGTACTTTTCGAACCAGCAGGTTAATTCCAGAAAGACCGAGGAAAACTATATTCCCATTTATGAGTACGCCTATTTTATAGGGTAAACAAAACCAGCTACCATGGGGGTATCTGCAGAATACCACTCAATAGGCACTGGGAGACGATCTGTTAACTCGTGTAAAGTCCTACACCATCAGTAAGTGAAATCTACACTAGCTCTGGACTTGTTCATGCATTCATTCATTGTCGCATCATTCTATAGTTTGCAATGCGCTTACCAGCTGAGTTGCCATCACCTCCAACTTTCCACTGATATTAAATGGTTGGAGGCAATTAGCACAAGCCCCCGTCAACCCATCCAGGTTCTATGCTTGTTCACACTCATCAAAAAAGTGTGTCTTCAACATTGATGCAATTCACATCGCATGTCAGATACGAACCCTCGTCGCCCAGTCTTACAATCAAAGAAACCACAAGTGAGTTATTCGGAATCATCACCGAACAACTATCTAACATCAATTCAGAACGAAGAGCGATGGCAAATCACCTAACCCTAGTGACCACATTGTAAACTAGACTGACAGAATCCAGTCAGTGATAACACCAAGGACTGGACACGCATCCCACTGGTAAATCCCACAGAGAATCAATTGTGAGTCCTAACAGGTTCGGTAATAATCCCTCTGACTACAGCACTACTAGGTCTTGAATACCCCTTGCTTATTGACGAGTGCCAACAAGCCACAGTTGCCTGCATTCAACACCAGCCTCAAGGTTTCCATGATGATATTACACCATTTTTACCATATAGCCACAACCTAAGTGGAGTCATCGATGATTAAGGACGGAATATTTAGCAGGTCGCCCGTTGACCTTCATGAGGCTTATGATACACAACTTTGAGAAACCGTAACCAACCCCAGGTGGAAAGTATCATTGAACTCAAGCACGACTAATTAACTAGTCACAAAACCCGGAATCGTTTTACACATTTGATGATTTACTATATGGGGTGGGTTTGGAATAATAATATGAATCATACACGAAGCACCCACAAATATGGGGGCCGAGTAAACAAGATTTCGCGTGTAATTGCAATAAATATTACCAAATCCCTGCTCAACATTCAATCATCAACATGAATAGCTGACTGCCCATTCCAGTATTCCCGTGATGAAGTAGTCAGAGTTAGAATGCGAGGAAAGTAGTATATCAGTCGATAAGATTGTACAGTAATGTTAGAAATGGGATGCTTTATACGCACTAGGACGTCATATTCCCGAAAAACTTGAATGTAGGCCCCAGTGTAGGGCTAATTCAGACAACTATCGGTTTGATAGAGACACTGGATACCCCCACCGTTGAAGTCCCTGAGGTATCTATCAAACAATCCAACAAATTGACAGTACGACAACTGAACTCAAGTCAGATAGCAACAATAATGTACACGTGTCTTCTATTTTCACGATCACCAAACGAAAGAACTGGAACAATCACGGTTTTTCGTGATCCTTCGTTGGTCGTGTGTCGTAGCAGGAGCAGTAGTATTTCAAAAAAATTCAACAGTAAAAATACGAGTTTATATTGAACAATATTCATATTAGACACACACACACACAATCATCAAGGAAATATTTACAGTTGATCAGATCAATACATTTCACTGTACACATGTTGAAGAGAATTGAAGGACGATATCAAAAAAGTGCATAGAACACTTCAATCAGACAGATGACGAAGAAAAAGAAGTTCTCTCTACAATTTGGTTTAAATCAAGTAGTACTTTGTTCAGTTGTTCAAAGGATATTTGACATTTTGAAACCTACAAAAAAGCGGGAAAGGAATAAAAAAAGAAATAATTTCCAGCTATGCATGCATACAAGAGAGGAGAAGGAACATACACAAATGAATTAACTGAAAACTCAATTGTGTTTTTTCATAGTTTGTTAACAGTCGTGGTTTTAGAATATATAACTAGGCAGAGTCTGGGAAGCGCAGAGGAAGTCCTGTCGGGTTGGTGTAAGTCACTGATTATCCCCATATTCAGTTCCTTGGGGACAACATCAGCGAGATACTAACACAGCGGCTTAGAAATGAGGCGGTAAAAAGGGCATTCCCAACTGCTGCCGAATTACGCTAAGTCTTCAAAACCACTCCTCTATTGCCTTCTTCCATGTGTGTGTATCTACCAATTTAACTGCTCCTGTGAAGGGAGCCAGTTACATAGGCCGTACAATTAGGTGTGTTTCTCGTCGGATTTCCGAACATCACCCCCTGTGTTGTTGGTTAAGTAAAGGACAAACAAAATCTATTCACATAGCTCTATTCTATCTCATCTTGTGATACAGAACACAAGATTGATGTCAACAAGGCGGCTTTCAAAGTCATTTACCGCAAACCAACAAAACATAGCTTCGCCTTAAGAGTTCGACTACTAAATATTGCTGAGGCAGGCTGTTGAGATCCATATTAAGAAGACTAATTTAGGTGTCCAAAAGAAGTTGGTTCAGACATTATCCTTACCTTAGCCATTTAGGTTTGAATGATCCTGAATTTTTGTGAAATTTTTCTAATTTTAGTTGATATTCTAGTTGCTATTATATTATTATTATTTATGCATCTTTGATGAAATCTAATTTAAATGATCTTACTTTACAAAACGACATTATTTAAAAACCACCAATATTGTTATTGACTACTATTCTAGAACATTCTGTGTATATTACCACATATATATAATTGTAGAGCCAGAAGAGGAATTTATCGAAAGGATATTCTTTGCTCAATTATTTTGTGACTTTCATAGATGTCTGAATGAATATTTCTGCTATAATATTTTCATATCTAACTAAATTGAAGGATATTCATGTTAAAACCGGTGGATACACATATTTGTTATCACATATGATGCCCTATGCTTTCACACAAATCAGCACTTTCATGACTGACTGAACGACTGTAAACTAATTTCCACATACACACTGACAAGTAAAACCATCCATTAAATATTCCTCTTACTCAAAATGTGCGTTTCAGGAAGCTAATACACCCGTAAATACCGACTAGTTGTGAGGGAACGCCGCAATATTAAAACCAACACAACATTCTAATCCTCTGAAGTTAGGTCACGAAATGACTGACGTCACTCAGTCACACAGTTACTGAAAACTATTACCAAAGGGATGTTCACCACTTCTTGGTGCTTTTCAATATTTTCCCTTAACTCAAATCTCTTTCGGATGGAACTCGGAATCAACCCAATCTCCCCCACCACCCCCCGCCGCCACCGCCCGAAAACTAACACATTTCAAAGTTATTCTTATTACCTCCTGAAGTTCCTTCTCTTCTTCGTCTATCTGTTTCATTGTGCATGAGATGCATCGAGTAATACCAGACAATTGTTTCGCCAAAGCTTCTTCTTCAGCTTCAAAGGAATTAATCTTTTTTGATCTTTCTTCATTATCAGATTCATACGCCTAGTAAGCAGACGGAGCACAGGGAAACATAAACATCATAAACAACAATATTGGTAAATTATACAGAATAGTAAAAATAGGTGTTCACACTAATGACAATGAATGCTCATCAATGATAAAATATATTCTTTGTCGAGAAAAAAGAGGTCTCACTGAATAACACATATTAATGTACTGTTTGTCCCATTGTCCATCTGTCTGTCTGTTTTTGACATAGAACTTCGCACAAATGTGCGGAAGTTCAAGTCGCCACACTCCATGTACCACACAAAGTAAGAGAAGAAATTACAAGAAAAGCACAATAGAGACAGTGAGCACAGGTGTGAGAGAAAAGAGTAATAAAGAAATACAAAACAGTTTCATTGAAGATCATAAGTCACAGGGAGTGGATGCATCTGCGCCACTGAGAACGATTTTGAGCCATGTCACCAACTGTTTCCAACCATTGGTCTTTACCGTCCCGAGGACCCCAGCCTGGAAGTCTACACTTTCCTATGTGGCTGGCTTACACTAACTGTTGTAGATTTCATTGACTGGTCCCATGTTTTCTTTTGACCTCCGCTAGCTTTTTTCCAGCCTGACCATATATCCGCTAACATTGCTCGTCGAGGATGGCGATGACTAGGCATACGTAACACATGTCCTAACCACCTCAGTCTTTGTAACTTCACAACTTCGTCGATTGATTTTCCCTGTTTACCTAGAACTCGACGCCTAACCTCAATATCGCTCACCTTATTATGCCACTTCACACGGGACATAGAACGCAGGCATCTATGATCAAAGACAGCTAATCTTTTCATGTCTTCCACTCTCAGTGGCCAGGTCTCACAACCATAAAGGAGGACGGAGCAGACTGATGACCAGTACACCCGCCCTTTGGTCGATAGTCGAACATCTCGTCTACGCCAGAGACGGCGTAAACTGGCATATGCGAAACTAGCCTCTGTATCCGTGCTTAGATTTCGTCAGAGATCAACCCGTTGGGGCTGATGGTACTTCCCAAATAAGTGAAGTGGTCAACGTGCTCTACAACTTGACTTCCTATTTTTAAACTAGGAGTCGCCGCAGCCCAGTCTTGTAACATCATCTTACATTTGGCGGGGGAGAATCGCATGCAGCTCAGGGTGTTTAGAAGACTCTGCATTTTTTCAGCGTCCTCGCCTAGCAGCACTATATCGTCTGCATATTCTAAGTCAACGAGATTATTCCCTGGTAGCAAGTCAATCCCTGAGTCGCTGAAGTCACTTAGGGTTAAGTTCATTAGTACATCTATGATGAAGTTGAATAGAAAAGGGGATAATGGGCATCCTTGACGGACACCACTAGTCGTCTCCATTTCAGATGACAACTCGCCGTAAGCCCTCACCTGGCTGTATGAGTACGAGTAGAGTGCCTTAATCAATGCAGTGTATTTTCTCGGCATTCCCTTTACAGCCAAGCATCTCCAGGGAACCTCTCGGTCGACAGATTCGAATTCCGCCTTTATTTCAAGGAATATAGTGATTGTTGGGCGCCGGTGGTGAGTATGCCTATGTTCTAGAATTTGTCGAAGGATGAAGATATGATCAATACACCCTCTTTTGTCCCATTGAGCAAGAGATATAGTCTCATCAACAATATCAACAAAGTGTAAGGTTGGTAATAACTGCAAAAGACAGCGTTAGTTGTTCAATGGCAGGCGGCTTGACGTGATAACCACAATCAGACAAAAGCAGGTTACCACAAGTGCCATCTTAAACCTCAACTATAGTTTACTATACTAGCCGTCTAGCAGTCTAATGTCGTCAGTGTAGTAACCACCACCTCATCTCATAGATAAATAACACCAGCCACCCTGAAACTCTTAAGTTCCGTTCTACTCCGAACGTAGGGGAATAAACAAAGCAAATAGTTCTCAAGGGATGAACCTTTTTATTCTTTACTCAATAAAAATAAGGTTTACAGGATTTCATCAAGATGGATAATAATAATAATAATAATAATAGCACTAGAATAACTCATTACACACACCACACCATTGATGACATTCGACTTCAAGGCAAGTAAGATGGTGTTTCAAGATGACAAAACTCATCAATAAATAGCGAAATCTATCAACAACAGTCATGCAACCTTAATCAGTAGTTGAATGGTCACAGCGCTGGACTCGTAACCTGAAGAACCCGAGTAGCATAGACCCCTAGAAGCATGCATTGTGCGTGCATGCACTACTGCTGAACTGTCCCAAAATAATGCACGACGACGAGACAGCTATCCATCCAATTTTCCCTGATTTTCAAACACTCGCTGACAATTTAATCAGGCGGAAGGGTCGATTACATTAGCTCAACACAAAGAGGGAGAGATACAGATAGACAGACAAAGTTAAATAACAATGTGGAGACGTGGCGGCTCAACGGTTTCACCACCTACTCGACTTTTAGTCACAGAAGGCTCTCACAGTTCGAATCCTACTCCACCACCTACTACTTTGGTGCGACCTAAACTTACCAACTAACTCGGTGGCACAGTGCTTAGGACTCTCGCCGACCATGCACATGGTTCGAGGTTCAATCACCTGCCGACGTACACCTGAAAAATTTGGGCTACCGATATCCATGCTGAAAATTCCATACTTGTACCAAAAATACAGTGTGGAATCAGGCTGTAATCAAAGATAAAATGAATAAATAGTATCATCAGCTCTCCCTCACAGAACAAGTGTGGCGGGCGGCACACAGTCACAAAGAATATGAAAAACTTCTTCTGGGAATTCGATTCAAACAACGAATAACTGTAAAAGACAGTTGTTGCTATTTTTCTTCCCCGTCTTATTATTATTATCACTGTCATCATTTTTTTATTCCTTCACGTTCCCCAGTGGAACATAACGAGGGCTTCAAGCTAGAGGCTTGAAGTTTCTGTAGCAGCGTTTTTATTTTTACAGGATGGGGTTGCTAGCCTCATGCCCAATCTTTCCTCTTTACCAGCTTTTATTTCTGGCAAAGTGAGGTAAAGGAGTGCGTTGGTGGCCGGGGATCGAACTCCGGACCATGTGTATGGTCGGCGAGCGTCCTAACCGCTGTGCCCCCGATGCACATTATCATCATTAAACTAAACTCTAATCGATGGAGTATAACAGAAAAGCTGACAATACACGCTGGGGGAGAGTATTATAAAATATATATGTGTGTGTGATTTACCTTCTTCCTGTTATTCAATAACAACCTCCTTCTCACTGTATGTGAGTGATATTCAGCGAACTGTGCATCTACTTCTTCCACTGCCGCCTGCATTTTCTTATTATCTTTGTTTAGTAAATCCACCTTTCCTGCATATTCCTGGAAAACAAATAAAGCAATAAATAACTTTGAAAAATCACAGATAAATGCATAAATCGTACATAATGAGCATAAGACAAAAAATATGCAACAAAAGAAATGTTAACTCACCACTCACAACATTTCAAATTCAAAGCAATTCAATCGATCAGCAGATGATCGATCGATCACGAACTGATTGACTTCGATTAGACAATCAGTGAAAACCAACGCGGAGTGCTTGACATCTGATGCATCATTGTCTGGGACTTCTCTCAGTAGTACACACTCATCACTCACATCAAATATAACAAATCATAAAACCCACGCGACGACCAACAAGTTAACAAGGCCAGTAAGTATACAGTATTCAGTCACAGGGAGGGAAGGAAACCAATAACTTGTGGACTGACTTCTGTCACAATTCACGATACACCGCCATCATCACCACCACCACCACAAGGTAATGTCATCAAGGAGTATCAGTCAGTCAGTTCTCACACCCAACTACTTCGTGCATCTGCCTACTCATGACTCTAACCAATAGAAAGAACCACAGGCAACTCTATATCCTTCACTCATGCTCAACAGTCATCACCAACTGATTTCAACTAACAATCAATCGATTCCCTGAAAACCAACACTTCACAATTCCATTGACTTTTGCTTATAACTGGGATGGATGCAAGCGCCCACTAAACCACCAATTCTCTAATCTGAATCAGAGCTATTTATTATGTTAGTTAGTTTTTTTTTCTCTCAAATCACATACTTTCACAGTAACGCCATGGATTCTTCCCAGAGGACCGCACACTATTTCTATTTATTATATAGGACCATTGTGAGCTGTCAGTTGGCATCGTTTAACGGTAACAACTACAATGGTATCTTATCATCTTGGAAACTCTGAATTCCGCTGTAGTTTGTCTGGAAATCAATCAAACCAGAATTTCACCCTCCTAAACATAACACATCTGAACACCATTTGTATTATTGATATAATATATTGAACTTGTGCCCTGTGGATAAAATTTAATTTGAGAAAGTCTCATAGTGTTACACAGTAATATTAACTGATGACGTTTCGAGCACAAACTATTACTGATTATAATCATATCAAGTTACACACACACACAACTATTTTTCCTTCATTTATATACATGTGTGGAATCGATTATTACTGCTAGTCAAATCGGAAGAGGATAATATATAATCCCAAAATTCTATTTCAATTCCATCACATCACAACATTCTAACAAGTTACTCATTATAACTATAAAAACAACCGTTTTATTTCCCAACTGATTGTAATTGATCAATAACACTCATATTAATAATTCTGAATGCACATTATCCCATATTGATTTTTAATCCAATATCTAGTCAATTCCACACATGTATATAAATGAAGGGAAAAAGTTGTGTGAGCTATTTGATATGGTTATGAGTAGCAATAATTTGTGCTCGAAACGTCATCAGTTAATATGACTATATAACACCGTGTGATTTATCGAAATAAAATCTTATCTATAATAGAGTTCACACATCCGAAGACAAACATTACACAGCCCAAGTCCTACTTCATTGTTTCACCATGCAAGGAGTTATACACAAAAACCTTTGTCTTGATCAACCAAAGCTGCCCAAAGTTAAGATTTCCTCTGCTGCCGACAACCCGTCGAAAGCATCAGGAAGCATGACTACAGAAGTGGGAGTAAGACAAGCCCACTCATCTGCATCACCACCCACTCACACAGGCACAACTGAAAGTCTTGCAAAATCTGTACACAGACACTGCACCAAGTTGAACACAACTTCTGATCTTCAAGTATTGGTTTGTACAGATTTAGTTGATTGGTTACAGGATTTCATCATGAGCTGACATTGTTTAGAGAACCAGTGGAAAACCTGAGAGTACTGGACAGCCCTATTCAGGTAGGTAGTTACCTGGGGTGCCAGTGGGAAGTCGTGATCAGTAGGGTGCAGCAGGTCGGGTGTGAGGACAAATACTCACCGAAGGCATTGGCTAGCGGTTGCGCTATATCGTGAATTGGCAGAGGTTAAAATCCATGAGCCATTGGATTGGGTCCCAGAGGCTTAATGGTCTACGAGCTCTCCTTGTAACCAGAAGGTCCTGAGTTCGAACCCTGGTGGGTGCGTACTGCTGAAGAGTCCCAAACTTGGAAGAAACCGTTGTCCAGTACTCCCAGGTTTTCAAATGATTCTTTAACCAATTTCAGTTCATGATAAAATCTTGCAACAACTCCTGAACGTCGGCGAAACCGTTTACAAGCACCAGCATGCGACCCCAGTAACTAGGTCCAACTAAATGTCTTTTATTTGGACCAACTCTTCAATGTACGCATTTACAGCTCGACTGTCAGAAGAATAGCAAATTACAGACTTGTTCAAGTACAAATCACACCGTCAGCGACACACACACACACACACCTAGAGATGACAATATCAGCTCTATATAGTTTAATCAATTGGTGAAACTCCGATTCCCCGCAGTAACAGATCTTTCTTACTCATTCGATTATCTATCAGCTACAGCTCGTGTGTGTGAACACTGCTTGTCATATACTACTCACTCACTCAGATCAAAATAATAAGTATGACTGTATTCCAGCCGGAGATTCACTAGTTAAAAGTCAAGTGGTTAAACAAGGTAGTCAGGTCACTCAACCACCTCAACGTATTACCACGACAGCGAGGCGAGGCCAAAGAGTTCGATTTCTGAGAGACACACTCCAAAACACTTCGTTTACTACTCGTCGCCAGTAAACTCGGAGAACACGAGGGTTTGGGAGTAAGATTAGCAATCCTACAACTCCGTGGACGAACAACACAACTAACGAGACTTCAAATGCCTCAGGTTCCATCTTCTACTTGGGACTCATGGAGTGAGAAATAAAAAAATTCCAACTCAATTTGGCTAAATGTCTTTGTGTATCAACATGGTCATCATTGTCAACCTTCTCCTATAAATAACTCACCGACTACTACTCCATAACACTTACGGTATGTTAGTCTCGCATGATTCATTAGTCCGTCACTTGGAATTTCACTAAAAACACAATAAATTTTGATATAAGAAAAAACTTGTGCACTGTGGTAGAGTGTAATTCCATTATGGGTAAATTTTGTTTTGACAGAGTCTCACAGTGTTATACAGTAATGTTTACTGCGTGACGTTCCGAGCACAATTTATCACTGCTCGTAATCATATCAAGTTAATCACACAACTTCGTAAATTCATTTATATATAGTCCTTTGTTTTTCACTTGATTTGATTGATAGTATGAGTGATGAATCATTTCTATTGCATGTGTTGGGTGTAGACTCGATGAACAAGGATTCCGTAATCAACCTCTCCACCTGCATAGATTACTGTTTAGAATTGTAACCCTCTCCCACTCTATTATATGGTTGTGTGTTAATGCATGCAGTGCAATGCAGTGCTGAGCTTTTTTCTAAATTACTTATCTTCTCGGGGTCAGTCATTCTTACCTTAGCTAAATTCTTATGTCCTGACAGTCTGACTACCCTTGACCTACTAGTATGACCTCACAGTCATTGCCGGGTATTTTGTAAATTATACTATTGTGTCTAATTGGGTCAACTGGGTCATTTAACCTACAGAGCTTGCCCCTGAGTGAGTTTGTAGGAGGGTTTAAATGCCACTTTAATTCCTGCTTTATTTAGAATCCTACGTAGGGTCTCAGATGTCCCCTCTTTATGTGGTATGACTGTAGATGACTTATATTCTCTCTTATTTATGTTATTATTACTAGTTTCACAATTATTTTTATTTTGGCCTTTTTCAACCTTCCTAATGAATTTAAAGGATAGTTATTTAACACCAACGCCTCTTCTATCTGTTTTATTTCATCATTTAGGTAATTTTATGTGCTACTTGGTGCCACTGCTTGGTTTGTTAAATACTTAACTAAGCCTGCCTTAACAGTTAACGCATGAGATGAATTAAAGTCTAAATATATATTATAATGCGTTGGTTTTCTATAAACACTAGTGTGTAGTTTGCCTTCTATTCGTTTTATTTTACAATCTAGCATAGCTAATTCTCCTTGTTCATTTTCCGCTTCAAATGTGAATTTTATTCGCTTCACTAGTGAGTTTATGTGTGTCAAGAAGCTAGAGATATGTTCTGTTTTTAACACTGTGAAAGTGTCATCCACATATCTCCACCATATTTTTGGAGTAGGATTAAACGTATTAAGAGCCATATTTTCCCAGCTATCCATAAATATATCTGCTACGATAAGGGATATTGGTGATCCCATTGCTACACCTTCAGTTTGTCCATATATTTCGCCTTGGAATTTAAAGATACTAGATGTGAAGCACAACTGAATTCCTAAAATAGTTTCTTCAATGGGTAGTTTCGTCCTATAAGTGAGTTCAGGGTCTACAGTTAATTCTTTTTTAACTGCTTCCAAGGCCATACTGATTGGTATGTTAGTATAAAGACTAGTTATATCAAAACTAACCATTATTTCATCATTCTTTAGTTGAATGTCATTTAGTTTATTTTTCATCTCAAATGAATTAGCTAGTCTAGATTTTGAGCGATTTCTAATGGGGCATAATATTGGAGCTAAGTGATTTGGTAATTCATAAGTAGGAGTATTCCTAAAGTCTACTATTGGTCGTATGGGGTACCCCCTGGTTTATGTATTTTAATAGTACCATACATTCTACTAGCATTATTAGTTTTAGGCATTAAATTAGACCATTTTGACTCACCCAGTGACGGCTTTATTCTGTGTATTAATTCCGCTGTGGATTTTTTAACCTTATTCATTATTGTATCTACAGGCTTCTTAATTTTCTCATATGAACCCATCTCAATATGTTCAGTGACTTTCTTCATATAGTCAGATTTATCCAAGACTACTGTCGAGTTTCCTTTGTTAGCTTTTGTAATGACGATGTTTTTATCCTGTTTTAGACTTATTAAAGCTAGTCTTTCCGATGTTGTTAAGTTTGATTTGGTTTTCTTTTGGTTTTTCAGGGTTAATGCACATTATGCTCGAAACGTCATCAGGAAACATTACTGTACAACACTGTGAGACTTTATCAAAACAAAATTTACCCATAGTGGAATTAATTACACACTAAATTTTCACATTCAAATTTTTTGTGCAAATCAGACAGGATATGGAAATAAAATTACTCTAATTGATGAAATCTATCACCACATCACATCAATTACGCATCTTCATTCTCCGCGAACACTGCTCTCTCACAGTCGAATACATATTCATACGTAAGTCAAAAATTTTAATTGTTCGATTTTTCCTATGGGGCTGCAGTAGTTCACTCATTTACTAACTACTACTCGACTACCAAACAACTGAGTCACACAAATTCTAACCCTACCCTATCATCATCACCAGCACCACCACCACCTATCAAGGTTAGTACAACCATGAGAGTAGTGATAGAAGTATATATGTATCACTAGTCAACTGAATGGGCATCCAAGTGATTGGTTCTCTTCACTACACAGTGGAAAAAAAACCAACACCACAGAACCACGGAAACTTCAAACCATCCTACATTTCCACTTGAAATACAAAGAAGGCTGTCATCCATCGAATGGAAACCGATAAGTTCGACGACTTGTGGCTGGCTAGCTGGTTGGCTGAAAGTGAAGTGCAGGCGATATGATGCCACAAAGAAGTGAAAACTAGCGCATATTATTTACTTATCGAATCAGATGAAGACGACAAGTGAAGAAAACAAGAGATTCTCTCTTTCTCTCTCTACACTGAAATCAAATCAAAAACAATATAAACACAATTATTTCATTGCTTACCTTCTCGTCATTTGTAATTCCATCTAATTTATTCATTAATGCATACACTTGATCAAATTTTGGTTTAAATTCTGTAGTTATTAAATGTAAATATTTTTGAAGCACTGATGAGAGATCCGAAATTCTATTCAGTGCTTCAAATCTTCCATGAATATCTGATTCAACATTATCCAACTGAATTTCTATTTCTGATATTAATTTTGGTAATGATTCACAATTGTCTATCAATGAATATTGTAGACTTTCATAATCTTCATTGACGCGTTGAAGTTTATCTTTATATGATTCTATCTAAAATTAAAAATGAAAAAATAAGGCAAGGGGGTGGGGGGGCAAATATCAGTTAACAATGACAACTATTGACTGACAGACCGACAGCCAGACAGACTGGATTGACTAAGTTTCTCATGTGGGACTTTGTACAGAAGTGCATGGTGTGTAGCAGTAGCGTAGTAGTTCAAGTTGCTTGACAGCCGTCTGGAAGGACATTAAAGATTTGATATGTATCCATATAATGTGTGTTTGTTTGACAGTCTGATATATTTTGCTATGTATATATGGATCGATATTCCATTATAATTAGCCAATCATGTTAAGACTGTCTATTGATTTGTTCATTTTGAATATTCGCTCACACACTTGTGTTCACACACTTGTTCGGACATTCACACTAAATTGCTCTCACACACTTGTGTGACATTGATTCTCCTTGTGTTTGGAAAATAGAAGTATCATCGCAAACCTAGTGGTCTTCTGATTTCCGTCTTTCTTGCGTCAGGACTATTAAATTCTCGACCAGTACATAACAAGATTATACTCTTATACTTAAGTCATCTACAGGAACATGTTTTTTATTTCAAACCTATTGCTATTACCTCTCTTTTGTCTAAAAACTATAGGAAAGTTACTCTTACTCAAACCTAAAAATTCACCTAAAAGCCTTTAACAACACCCCAGAAACAATTCGCCTACAAAATAAACACAGTAAAAGTACTTTAGATGCAGTTGCAGTCTTGCATGCATAACATTCTCCCCAGTTCAGACAAAGGGGGGGGCGGGCTAAATTTGTTCGATGCACCTTCCTAGATTACACATCTACCCCTTCGACTCAGTCAGTACCTAAGGAAATTTTGTTAAATGAGCTTGCTGAAACTCAAACTGACTGTTGGGTTGTCACAAATGGCTGCATTCTTATTTCTCAGGAAGAAGGTAGTACACTGTATGTCAAGGAAAGTCGTCAACTTTGTTGCTTACTAAGACTGGTGTCCGTCAAGGCGCTGTCCTTTCTCCTTTTCTGTTTTCTTTCTTCTTGAATGACTTGTCTCGCTCTAATGATGAAATGAAGTTTGTTAAGTATGCCGATGATCTAACCATTTCAATGTCTGTTAACTCCCAGCTAGACTGTAATAAGATGAACAGCTTTCTATCAGGAATTAGCTTTAAACTAAATCCTTTCAAATATCAGACTGTTAATTTCAGTTTCCGATGTAAAAGAAAGTTAAATGAAGCTGTTGGTTCCTTTGACCATTGAAAAATTGATGATAGTGATATAGACATCAAGTCTGAAGTTAATTATTTTGGATTAATTCCCACATCTTAGCGATTTTTAAAAGAATATTTCGTCTGACTTTTTACACTAAGAAGTGGAGGCACTCAGGCATAACTTAACCTCTTCTCTCCATACAGTTTGTCAACTCGTGCATCTTACCTATTCTTCGCTATTGTTCACCCTTATTCTTTCCTGGATTGCTTAAAAAAGACTATGTCATACTTCGTAGAACTCTGAAGACTGTCTGTCAGTAGAGCGAGTGGTATCCCACTGAGCCATATCGTTGACATTGTCACTGATAGGCACTTGATGTTATGCAACAAATTTTGTCAGACTCTGAGCACCCACTCTACCCGCAGCTCCAACCTTGTGTCTCCTCAGGTAAAACAAGAAGTCTTTTCACAAGACTTTATGCACGTACGTTCAAGTATAAAAATTCCACTATACCATATTTGACGGCACGTATTTTATGTGATATAAAATGGTGTCAGGCATGAACTAACTAACCTTCTTTCCACTACTAAATAAACCATTTCCCTCACCCTTACAACATCAATCTTTATCGTTATTGTACTTCTTATATTTATAATCCTCTCAATTTTTTGCTTTTATTTATTTTTTCAAAAGTGTGAATATCATTCAAGCTGTGTTTTAACTGTTAATTTTGTACTTTCCCTCACCACACTACATCAAGAGAACATTAGATTCAATAACCTATAACATGCTAGAATTTCCTAACTGAATCAACAATACTGTTATTGTTATTATTATTATATTTAATAATCTCGATTCGTGCTTCGAATATTTTTGACTTTATATCGTGAGCGTGGACAAATTCCTCTGGTTAATTTTGTTTTAATTTTATTTATATTTTGAATAAATCAGATGCAATACTGTGACAAATGCTAAGAATTACATTCTGTATTATAAGTACTGTCTGTTTTGGAATAAAGTAGTTTGTTATTATCATTATATACGACACAACACAGGTAGAGGGAAAAAAATCATTCAAACGAACTATTCATAAGGAGCAGAAATGTGCCTGGGAGAAACATGAGGACTGAATGATTTTGCGACACACACACAGAGACAGAGAGATTAAAAACAGTGAATACATAAGGGTGTGTGGGTCATTCACAATCATCTTCAGATATATAACTGACAGTCTCCAGCTACCGCTTCTTAGCATCGCAACTACCTCAAATGGGAAGTTTACATAGACCCACCCACCGTCACCCAATGCTACCACCTTATGTGGGTCAAACCAACAGCCACTGATAGAAGATATCAACCTTCTATTCGAACAAGACATATAAGCGAACATAACTGTTGTTTTCAATTAGATCTTCAGGATTTACTCTAATTGACATAGATTTATATATTAAAAATTTTAACCAATGACGGTAATTTTTTGGATCAAATAATAATAATGTGGTAAATGTCTTGAATAATGATAAAAAAAGTATTGATAATAAGGTTTATGCAGGTGGCGAGAAGAATAACAAACGTAGTAATGTCTGAATATGTAGACAATTCAATAAATAAATAAATTAGGTCAAATCTTAAGAGTTACGTAACACTAAAGGTGACGTGGACAGATAATCAGAGTTTAAACAAATATCATAAAAGTCTGTCTTTTTTCAACATAGAAATTTTCTCCGATGTGGAGCAGTTCGAGTTGCCACACTCCCTCCTTGTAGCATACAAAGCAAGAGAAGAAAATAAAAAGGAATGCAAAACATAGACAGTAAACAGAGATGTAAGGCAAAAAGAATGGTAATAACGAAGAGCAATATCGTTTCACCGGGAATTATAAGTCACAAAGAGTGGATGCAACTGCGCCAGTCATTAGGAACCATTTTGAGCCATATCACCGTTTGTTCCGGCCATTGGTTTTACCGTCCCAGGGACCCCTACCAGGAAGTCTAAACCTTCCTACGTGGCTTAGACTAACTGTCAAGGATTTCATTGGCTGATGAAGACATGTTTTGGTTTGACCACTACTAGCTCTTTTCCAGCCTGATCCATCCTATGTCAGCTAAAACTGACCGTCGACAAAGGCGATGGTTAGGCTAAGCATGCCTAACACATGTTCTAACCATCCCTCTCAATCGGTGTAATTTCACAACCTCATTGATTGGCTCCCCCTCCTTACCTAGCACTCGACCGAAATCCAACCCCCATATATTACTCGCTTTATTATACCACTCAACATGGGAGATAGAACGCAGGCACCTATGACCAAAGACAGCCAGCCAGGCTTCGCATGTCTTCCACTCTCTACGGCCATGTCTCGCTCACAGCCATAAAGAAGGACGGAGCAGACTGCTGAGCAGTACATCCTCCCTTTGATCGATAGCCAGCCGGATATCATGTCTGCTAAGCCAGAGACAGCGTAAACTGGCATATGCGAAAATAGCCCTCTGCTTAGATTTCGTCAGCGATCAACCCGTTGGGACGAAGGAAATGGAAAATAAGGAAGGGTGGGATGGTTTCGAATAGAATTTACCTAGGCCAAGAGAAAGGTAAAAGGTAGAACAAACCTTTTTTGTCGTATGCGAAAACTAGGAGTATTCTCTCGAATTAATTCCCATAGCTTCGGCTGTGTAAAAGGTGGGTTCGAGTTTCATTCGAAAGGTTCAATGGAATGCAATATATAACTATGCAGGCACTTCTTGCGTCCACTTGGTGATCGATTTCAACTAAATGAGTCAAAATAGAACTTCTTATAGATTTTATTTGGCCTTTTGTTATGATTATAATCATAGTTATTAATGACGCTCAAAACATTCACCACATTATTGGTACTATCATTATTATTAACCCTATTTGATTCACAAAACTACCGTCATTGGTTAAAAATCTAAATATATAAATCTATGTAAATTAGAGTAAAGCCTGAAGAAGATCTAACCGAAAACAATATTGTTCGCTTACATGTCTTGTTCTAATATTAATAATGGGAATATTTATAGCTTTTTTTCTGACCAACCTTCACTCTCCTCTCCACTAACCTAATCAATCCTACGTCACCCATTACTCTTCCACTTCTGAATGTATGCGAGCATTAGTTAAAGTATGCTTATTTCGAAATCCTTAGTGTCACTCAACTTATCATAGTATGCAAAATATCCTTCAAAAAAACTTCATATAGTCTAACAAAGTATTTCGCCCTCTGAACTCTAGTCCTCCTTCTCACAGTCTACGCATCGAACAACAACAAGTTTGTTGTTGATGCTATACATAGATGATACGCTTAGCTTATATGGTGATAGAAATCAATGTGACTCCAGCTCTCTCATTTATAGCATGCATATATATATATATATATATATTAGGTGAAGACTATGATAAAGTGGAGGGTCTCCTGAACACCCAGAACAGAGAGCTACAAGTGTCTCGCATGCGATTTCATCCTGCCAAATGTACGATGATCCTGCACGATTCAGCTGCAAAAACTCCTAGCTTAAAGAGAGAGGGGAGTGAAGTGGTAATGTGTCGAACACTTCACTTACGGCTGTCACACATGGTCGTTGTAATCACAAAATACTAAAAGGCCAGCTGTCTTTCATCACAGGTGTCCGCTTCTTCTCCACCGCCTTATATGGTATAATATGGTAAGCAATATCGAGGACACATGAAGTGTATTGGGTAAAGACAATTGGCCACAACAAACAATCAGGTCGTGAAGCTGTGTCGGTTGAAATGGCTACACCATTAATTACCCATGAGAATCCACACTAACATCGACATGCAATGTTAGCCAACAAACGATTAGGTTAGGGAGAAGTAACAGATGGTCAAACCAAAGGCTGACATTCAGTCAGTCAATGAAATCGCTCACACAGAGTTTAAGCCGTGTATAGGAAGGTGTACACTCCCTGGCCGGGGTCCTTACAACTCACACAAGGACTAATCACCAATGGAATCAAACTATCGCAGATATGGCTAAAAAATCTTCCTCAACGGTAGAGGTGCATTCACTCCTTGACATTCCCCCATCCATTAAACTTGAATGTTTTTCCATGTTTCTATTCATTCTCCACCACATTTCTGTTTATCATAATACTTCCTCCTTTTCCTCCACCTTCTTGTGTTACATGGAATGTGGACACACTCGAACTGTTGCACTTCTGCGCTACCTTCTATGTTGGGTCTCAGTCAGTCAGGAAGGATACATAGATGAATGGAAGTACCAGGTATCTCTCTGCACACTTCCATCACCTCAGAAACCGTATACTTATTATGCAGCTTCGTCATTTTCTATTCATTCATACATTGTCATTACAATTTTTCTCCTTTCCTCTTTCTTTCTTCCTTTCCGACTGTTACTCATCACTCAGACAGGATTAGAAACCATGCTTCCTATCTACTTTTAGTCTCACAGTCCCACAGTCGCATACTGCAGTTTCCAATATCTCAAAACTATATGCCAGATAGTACAACTAATTATTTTACAATCATAGATCAGGCTACAAATCACTATTGTATCAATCAGTCACATAAACTTAAGCATAACTAACTTGATCGGTTAAATTCCACCTAAAAATAATCAAAATCAGCACTCTCTCGTCTCATGAATAGTTTTGTCCTCTAATACAATAGAACAAAATCCACTCTTCACCTGCATCTCAGTGGATATTCACATTCATGTGAGTGCTGTGCACTGTGTTCACTAAATGGATTTGTGGCAACAAATAAAAACTTTGCATACACACACACACCTATATATTCATATCACATTTCGTAGTCTACGCCCAGATGGTCGTTCATCTCTCAGTCTCAACGAAGTGAATTATTATCTTTATAAGCCATCTAGAGAGTGACACATCAAAACAGCCTACAAGGCAGTAGTGACAAGGCCAAATAACACAATAATAACCCTAATATAAAAAATGAACAAGAAATAGAAAAAAGGAATCAAAGGTGCAAGATTGATCCTACCTTATAATAACAAGAAACGCCAATGCCTCCAACTCCAACTGAAATTTACCAGTTCACATGTATCCCCAGTACCATGTACATACATACAAAGGGCTCAGAGGAAAGCGTCCAATGACTAGATGATTCCTTCCCAACCATATCCTTAGCCGTACTTTTATGAAAAGTGAAAAAAGTGTTTCAAGTTCTATCGCTGCTAATTACCTCACTGACAGGCAATATACACTTCAAATCAATAAAATCTTCAAAATAATCAATAAACAGAAACAGAGAGAGCGCGATAACGAACACTCTGGTTAGATCAGTTTGCAGAAACCATTCACAACACAAGTAGGGACAATTAATGTGAGTCACTAGCGAAATTCCCTGTCATCCCCAGTAGGCAGGATACGCCTCGAAAAACTTGCTTTTCAGTATATTCTCACTTCCAGTTCATCTAACAACTAAACCACATCAACCGATACCAAACTTATGTATGCCAGAAAACGAAACATACCTGATGCTTTTTCTCTTCACATGAAGAAACCAATGATCGGTAGAGATCTTCTCTAGATGCAGCCATAGCATTCTTCTCAGCATAGCATGACTTGAAGCGGCACAATTCTGCCTCAAGACCTTTGATTCTCTCGCGCCTCTCACACTCTGCTTCTTGGAGACGCTGTAGCTCACACTCTCGAGTTCTATTCGATTCCAATAATTCCTTATACATATTCCTACTTTCGCTTGATGAATCAACCACCTTTCGAAAAGGAAATCAAATGCGTAATTTCGTTCGACACAAACTGCGTGTATACTCACCTCGAGAACTTCTGTAAAATCACAGTCGAACCACGAGACGAAAACCGAGAGAAAGGGTACCCATCTACTCCGTTCTCTCTGTTCACTAAAATCATTCAAAGTAAAATGGCCCTCGAATCCTAATTTCCTGGCTGTTAATATCGTAAATGTGATAAATTCGTGCTTCCAGGGCTTCTTCAGCTTTATATCGTAGAAGAGACAAAGAAGTTGTGAGAGTATATCATCCATGTATTCACCTGTTCTCATCGTCACCAATCATAAATACACACATCTGATAATTCACGATTTACCATTATCAAACAGCTTCACTGGATCAACAGGTCTGCCAATCACTACAGACATGTATCTCACCATCTCCACAACATCCATAGTTTCTGAAGTAAACAACAAGAAAGAAAGAAGAGAGAATGGGCATGAAGTTTACACACTTAGAAGTATGCGGAAAATATACACCCTCATGAGGACGATATCTCCATTTTGAAAACCTCATCGTTTTACACAATAATACAAACTTGCACAGACGACACTTAATGTTAGAAATAAATATGCTACATCATGGATACCAAGAGATGTGCCACACAGTCTTTCATAATTTCGGAGACGACTGGGATACTTCGCGGATATCAAGACCGAAACAGGCCTGTTCGCCGAGCCTTTCACTTGAAGCCTCACCCATTGACATCAGCATGATGTCAGTTACAAGTGCAGTTGTAACCAGAGAAGAATGTCATCACAGAGTTATTTTCTCAGATGGCATTGCTTCACTGAGTCATTCTGTAGAACACAACTTCCATCTTTCGAGCCATCAGCACAAAAACCTACTGTCTGAAGGACGATGGGTAATGCAACCTACCCAGTTTCCCAGGATGAATTAGGTGCAGAGTGACTCGAATTCAAAAGCTTAGTACATTTGTTGATAAGCAACATCCCCATTGCCTTATAGGACAATGAATCGACACAATTTATTGATCACAAACAATTTAATTCCCCCATCTCATCTCACCTCACCTCACGAACCAGCTCAAATTTAAAAGTGCGCGGACAGACAAACCGCTGTTAACCGCGCAACCACAAGACATTTGGGCGAGACAAATTATCACTTACACAGTGCAAATGGATTACTGTAGAAATCGCCCAGTAAGAATACGCTAAATCAGCTTTAACAAAAGTGCCATGTAATTAAGCGGATTATTTACAGGAGCGTCTAATTTGACTTACGCGAGAGACAAAAAATATTAATTTTGGAGCATCAAATTCAGTGCAAATCCGCGTTCAGGTTCTGTACTTACTGGTAGCCAATTCATAGAATTTGGTGGTTGTAGATTGACTCAATATGCTACAGACCGGTCTAACTGTAACATAGTCGGGCTACTTGTAGTTAGAATCATTACACGGCAAGAGTATTAAGGCATTTTGCGTAAGATAAAATATTTTGACTGTAACTCGGTTACATCTGGAAGGTTGGGATATGTAGTTCTGAGTCTCTACTAGGAGTAACTTGCAACTTCATGGTCAGTTTCGAGTGAATGGAGAAACTTGTTGATGCAGGTAATAATATCAATGTTCATATTTCGTAAAAACAGGTCATACATGAAATGCAATCCATTTCTACAGGCCCGACTAGATATGCTATAAGCTGCAGTCATGAAATATCAATGAAGTAGTACCATTTCAATTATCTCGGCAGTTGAATCGCAATACAAACAATCAGATCAGGTCCATATGAATATGATATTGCAAGCCCCTCACTAAGGTCGTCACCATGGTTTGTAGGTAACCAGAATTCCGTTTCGTTTCCTAATGATGATTATAGCCAACCGGTTAACGACCTACATTCATGGAGGTTCTATACCCACGCAAAAATTAAGGCTATTTCAGGGAGGGGAGAACGTCCTGAGAAACTGCGAGGTGGAACGAAACACAGTTAGGGATAAAATATCGCTAGAAATACACTTACAAACATATATAAGAGAGAGCTATGGAGTCCTCGGAATGATCATATACGTTTGCAATATGTAATGCTGCCCACCCTCGCCTTACCAGGCAGATCACGTTTCTTATGGAAATACAGCTAACTTCAAACTAGGCGTTGTTTGTTTCATTTTTTTTGCAAAACCAGACGCTAGGGGAGCAAGGAATATAAATTGACAGAGTGAGTTTTAGCTTCATTAAAACTTAGGCATTGAAGATATAATAGAGTATAGTGGTACTCAGGTAAAGAATCTTGTAGAGCACATCTTCGATTTTCTATTCAGAAGTGGCTCTACAGATTTCGGAAAAGTCTTATCTTATCTTCATCTTTTTATGTTTGATTTATCTTTGATTACAGCTTGATTCCACACCGTATTTTTGGTACAGGTATGGAATTTTCAGCATGGATATCGGTAGCCCAAATTTCGCAGGCCGACCATAGATATCAGGTGTGCGTCAGCGTGGGCTCGAACCCCGGACCATGTGCATGGTCGGCGAGAGTCCTAACCACTGTGCCACCGACGCACATGTAGGACATTATTTATTATTATATTATTATTGCTCCCGTGGGTTCCTAGTGGAACATAGGGCTTCAACTGCACGTCTCCATTTTCTTCTGTCTTCTGCTATACTTTTCGCCTGCATCCATGTTAATCCATATTCTTTCAACTCCTCTTCACACGATCTCTTCCATGTCACCCTTGGACGTCCCACACGCCGCTTCCCTTTCGGGTTCCACTCGAGGGCTTGGCGCGCGATGTCACCCAGCGGTCTCCTCAGCGAGTGCCCGATCCATCTCCACTTTCTCCTGCATATTTGTTGGGCGATTGGTTCTTGCTTTGTTTGTTCCCATAATTCCTTGTTGGTGATTCTTTCCGGCCGGCCATCTGATCTTCAGTATAGAGCAGAAGACAGTTGTTAATAAAGGTCTGCAGCCTTTTGGAAATATTCTTTGTGACCCGCCCGCCAAGTTTCTGATCCGTATAGAAGAACTGACTTTACGTTTGTATTGAAAATCCGAATTTTGTTGGTGATGCTGAGTGACGAAGATTTCCAGATTGATTTCAGGCTGATGAATGTGTTTCTCGCCTGCCTTCCCGATTCTCGCTCGATTTGACATCCTCGTCCGCTCCTCCTGTAGTTGAGACAATGCTCCCTAGATAAGTGAATGAAGTAACCTCTTTCAAATCCCTCCCGTTGATGGTGATTGACGTTGGATGTTGTTGCTGTTGTTGGTTGGTTATTTTCATAACCTCCGTCTTGTCTATGTTTACCTGGAGTCCTGTCTTTGCTGCTTCTTCGACCAGTTTGTCGGTTTTCGCTTGTAAGTCTTCGATTTTGTGTGACATCAAACATAAATCATCCACACGCGAAATCCAGGTCTTCTAGGTTCTTCACGTCGGTCGGTCCAGGATATTCCTGTCTTCTCGTTTCCCACAGTCTGACGCATAATCCAGTCCACCACAATTAGGAATATCATTGGTGATAGTAAGCACCCTTGTCTGACTCCTGTGTTTACTCCAAACGCCTCGCTGAGTCTTCCGTTGTGGATCACTTGGCAGGTGCCGTTGTCGTACAGCTGTTGAATAAGGTTGATGAATATTTGGGGTACGCTGTAGTACTCGAGTAATTTCCAAATTACTTCACGACCAACGCTGTCGAAGGCCTTCTCAAAGTCTATAAAGTTGAGGTAGAGGTTTGATTGCCATTCCATGCTTTGTTCGATGATGATGCGTAGAGTTGCAATTTGGTCAGTACATGATTTGCCTTTCCTGAATCCAGCTTGTTCTGGTCGGAGTTCTGTATCCAGTGCGTCCTTTAATCTCTCCAGGATGATGCGACTCAGGATTTTACTTGGCGTCGACAGGAGCGTTATTCCTCGCCAGTTCTTGCAGAGTCCTAAGTCGCCCTTCTTTGGTAGTTTCACGAGGTAACCTTTCCTCCAGTCAGTAGGCACCTTTCCCTCCTTCCAGACCTTTGCTGTCGTCTCTGGGTCTGCTTTCAGTGCTTCAGGGGGTATTCCATCTGGTCCGGCTGCTTTTCCAGCTTTCAGAAGTTTGATTGCATTCAAGACTTCAGCTCTCGTTGGAGGATTGGTGTCAACTTGCAGTTGTGTCGTGCTGTTGTTGGTATTTCTGGACGGGTTGCAGGTGATGGTCGGTTCAAGAGTCCTTTGAAGTGATCCGCCCATTGTTTAATCTGTTTTTCTTCCTTGGTAATGGGCTTCCCTTGGCTGTCTTTTATAGGTTTCGCTTGTGTTGATCTCTTCCCGGATAGAGATTTGGTTATCTGATATAGTGTCCTCAGGTCCCTTTTGCCTGCTGCCTTCTCAGCTTCAGTAGCTAGATTGTCGTAGAATCGTCTTTTGTCCTTCCTAGCATCTTCTTCACTTCTTTGTCCAGTGCTGTGTAAGTTGAGCTCATCGTTCCTCCTCCTGTCCGTCCTTGCATTGAATCATTTTCTCTTTCACCATTCTCCTCTCTTCTATTAATTTCCAAGTGTCCGTTGAGAGCCATTCCTTGTCTTGTCTCTTCTTTCTTCCTAAAACCGTTGAACACGTTTCGTTGAGAATCGCCTTCAGAGACTTCCAATGTTCTTCCACGCATGATTCTTCAGTGATGTCGCGTAGTGTTTCCTGCTTTGCTCTGACAGTTGCAGTGAAGGTGTCTTTTGTGGTTGTGTCCTTCAGTTTGAGTGTTGAACTTGCATTGTGGCCTATCCCCAGCTATCCTCGAGGCTTTTAGTTTCACCTTGAAAGTCCCTTCTACTAGATAGTGGTCTGAACCCACATCTGCTCCTCTCCTTGACCTTGTGTCCAGTAGGCTCCGTCTCCACTTTCTTGAAATTGAGATGAAGTCTATTTGATTCTTGGTGTTTCCATCTGGTGAAATCCATGTCGTCTTGTGTATATCCTTGTGTTTGAACACACTACCGCCAATCACCAAATCATTGAAGGCGCAGAAGTCTGAGAAGAGTTCACCATTGTCGTTCATTTCACGAGGGCCTCACGACCCATGGTGAGTTCTCTTCCTGTGTTGTCTCCTCCCAGCTTCGCATTCATGTCGCCCATCAGGATTTTGATATCGCCATTTGGGACGTTGTCCATTATTGCTTGTAGTTGTCTGTAGAACGCCTCCTTCTTCTCTTGTTCTGAGACGTTTGTAGGCGCATAGCATTGAATGACTGTAACTTTCCTTCCTTTTGAGTTGAACCTGGCTGTCATTATCCTGGAGGAGATTGGTTCCCACTGCATGAGAGCTTTGGTTGCTGTTGGTGACATCATGATGGCCACTCCCTCGGTGTGCTCGTGGTTGTCCTCTAGGTGGCCGGAATAGATTACTGTCTCTCCAGTAGGTAGTTGGCACCTTCCAGTTCCGTTCCATCTGCTCTCGCAGATTCCCAACACTTCTATTCTGTACCTTCTCATTTCAGCGGCTATCTGGGCAGCCTTTCCAGTTTCGTACATTGTGCGAACATTCCAGGTACCCATCCTTACTTTTGCTTTCATCGAAAGAAGGCACATCGGCTGACTGGCTTCCCGAAGGCTTTCACCAGCCTGCGTCATTTCACTTCCCCGATTCCAGCGAAAAGTAAGGCTATTGTTTATGTTTTTAGAATTTTTAATATATAAAACTAGTAAGCTAGTAGCCTAGCAAGCTAGTATCTGGCGAGGTTACATGTAGGACATGCTGACCCATAATATGTTTCACGAACCTATGTTGGACCTACGAGATCACATCTTGGCAAGAAGCTGAGCAGATTCGAAGTTGTCGGGGGGACAAGCACCATTTTCCATTTAGATTTGAACAAACATCGTTGTTTTATCAAAGTTCAGGATGTGAGCTTGAGTCTGTCTATCAAAAATGCAGTTTACCGTCCCACAGATTGGAGCGATTCATGTTTCTGACCTCAGCCATATTTGCTCATCAGCATGCATCACCTTCCCTTACCCTCTATCTCCATTTTAAAAGATAATAATATATTCTCATTTGTTTTTTACATGACGGACACCAGTTTGCAGGCGTCATCAATATGGTAAATTACATATA